TGGGAACAAAGCTGAACTAACACCCTGACCATGGAACACTCGAGTAACAAGCCACTCGTGGACTCAATCCTGTGACCTAAACCTCCTTAATATCATGCTATCCATAACTAAGGTGACCAGTTACTCACAGTCAGTATTTAGTCCAATATTTCTTCAATACTTTTACAAAAGATAAATATTACTTGAAAATGTCTTTAAGGCTTTTCCTTCCACTTAAAAATATGAACGTCTACATTCAGGAATAGGAATTTCTAGAGAACACTTGAATTTCACCTCTAAAATTGCTTAACCTACTACTAGAAGCCCTTATAAAGTTAAAATAAAATTCTTAACATAATTAATCATGGTAGGCTTGATTTGGAGTTCAAAACATTCTCTAAAATAGTCATGTAATAAGGGAGACCCTCTAACCAAAAGAATCAGCAGACAATTTAGCGACAGTAAAATTTTACGGTTATGGGCACAGAGGACTATGTATTTACCTTAGTTACCTACGTCCAAGTACTGTGCTGAATACATCTAGGTATTCATTAAATCTTAAAAAAAAAAAAAAAAAAAAATCCTATGAGGAAGGTACCATTCCTATCCCCATTTCACGGATGGGGAAACTGACCTTTCCAAGAATACCCAACTAGTAAGTGGCAGAGTCAGGATTCCAACCCAAATCTTGTCTAACTTCAGAATCTGCACGCTTAACCACTACACTGTATTGCCTCCAGTGACTCTGGGTTGATATCTAAGATGAAATAAGAAGGAAATTTGTACTTCTCAGTGGCAAATTTTAAAAACATACTAGAAATGAATGGTATTTTTTAGAACATGAACAAGTTTCACATACACGGTCATACAATTTTTATTTCCAAACACATGTAATAATGATGAAAATCTCACACAATGAATTTCTCACAATTTTTCATAACTACTCAATCATCGTGTTTTTTTGTTTATTTTTTTTTTTTAGACAGAGTTTCACTCTTGTTGCCCAGGCTAGAATGCAATGGTGGATCTCGGCTCACTGCAACCGCCACCTCCCTGGTTCAAGCAATTCTGCCTCAGTCTCCCGAGTAGCTGGGATTACAGGCGCCCACCACCATGCCCGGCTAATTTTTGTATTTTTAGCAGAGACGGGATTTCACCATGTTGGCCAGGCTGGTCTTGAACTCTGACCTCAGGTGATCCACTCGCCTTGGCCTCCCAAACTGCTGGGATTACAGGCGTGAGTCACCACACCCAGCCCAATCGTGTTTATTATTAAAAATTTAATGGGAACACCCTGTATTTTCCCCTCAATTTTGCTGTGAACCTAAAACTACTCTAAAAAACAGTCTATTGGGCCAGGCGTGGTGGGTCACACCTGTAATCCCAGCACTTCGGAAGGCAGGCGGATCACCTGAGGTCAGAGTTTGACACCAGCCTGGCCAACATGGCAAAACCCCGTCTCCACTAAAAATGTAAAACTTAGCCAGGTCTGGTGGCGGGCACCTGTAATCCTAGGTACTCAGGAGGCAGAGGCTGGAGAATCACTTGAACCTGAAGGCGGGGAGGGGTGGGGCGGAGGCTGCAGTGAGTCGAGATCAGGCCACTTCACTCCAGCCTGGCCGAAAGAGCAAAACTCCATCTCAAAAAAAAAAAAAAAAGAAGTCTATTAAAAAAAGTTTTCAACTACAATATCCTAAATATACCTAATTTAGTTATAAACTAGCATAAGACTAGATTCTTTCAGTATGAAAAGTTGCATTCTGTTTTTCATAACCACTGTACCAAGCATGCTGTTAGCATTTAATAAAAATTGAACTTTTTCTTTCAAAAGCAGTGGTGTAATACTGTGTGTGTGTGTGTTTTGTTTGTTTGAGACAGAGTTACACTCTTATTGCCCAGGCTGGAGTTCAATGGCGTGGTCTCGGCTCACTGCAACCTCCGCCTCCAGGGTTCAAGCGATTCTCCTGCCTCAGTCTCCTGAGAAGCTGGGATTACAGGCACCTGCCACCACACCAGACTAATTTTGTATTTTTAGTAGAGAGAAGGTTTCTCCATCTTGGTCAGGCTGGTCTCAAACTCCCGACTTCGGGTGATCCACCTGCCTAGGCCTCCCGAAGTGCTGGGATTACAGGCGTGAGCCACCGCGACCGGCAAAATTGGAATTTTTAACACTCCCTGAACACTCCCAGGGACTCTGCATTACAATGACATGAAATAAATTGTCGTGTAAAATTTGAACAAAACTCTGACGCAAGACTTGAACCCTTTATTGAGGAATATAAAAGGTGGAACACTACATCCCTATAACATGGCTGGCATAAATATGACTAACTTTACTTTTCCACTTTAAGTATCAAAAGATGTAGCCTTAAGTCAAAAATAGATGAGGGTAACAGAATCTTTTCCTAGTTTCAGTCCTTTCTAAATGCTCCAAAGAAGCTTATCCAAAAAAAAAAAGGCCGGGCACAGTGGCTCACACCTGTAATCCCGGCAGTTCGGGAGGCTGAGGCCGGCCGACCACCTGAGGTCAGGAGTTAACATACCAGTTTGGCCATATGGCGAAACTTCGTCTCTATGAAAAATACAAAAATTAGCCAGGCATGGTGGCATGCACCTGTAATCCCAGCTACTTGGGAGGCTGAGGCAGGAGAATCTCTTGAACCCGGGAGGCAGAGGTTGCAGTGAGCCAAGACCATGCCACTACACTGCAGCCTGGGCAACAGAGCTAGACTCCATCTCTTGGGGGCAATGGAGAGAGGAAAAAAAAAAACCTCTGAATTGTCCAGAATGACTGTCAACATATGAACCAAATCTTTCTTTCCTGATATTCACCAAGGTTGTTAAAATTCTAAGGGTCAATTAAGAGTTATACGAGAAACCTATAACAAGTTTTGCCTAATACCACTTCCCATCGCAACATTTTCATCAAGGTCCACCTTTATGAATAAACACCTAAGTTCAATTAAGACAAGTGAGGAGGTATTAACTTACATTAAAAAAAAAGTCATTGTCCTGTATATTCTACTTAATTTTCAAATAGAATACTATACTGGCCACCAACAAAAAATGTTTAAGGGAAGCTCTGTTAATTTTGTTTTGTCTCACTGTTGTACTTCCAATGTCTCGACTATAAAAGCTAAGTGGGAAGCCTAGGGAAGAAGATACATTGTTGAAATAAAGGCGCTTAATCACACCTATAATTCACAGTATTCCTTTCCTTTCTCTCTGACCCAAGTTCTCATTAAGTGACCCACAGACTCTTCTAAACATCACTATGCTTTCTCTAATCAGAAGCTGGGATGTGCACTGAAATAAATACATTCTAACCAATACATTTTTCAAATTATTAATACAATACTCGTTTAAATATTTGTATTCAAAATTTCTCACTAATCATCTAGCTTTATCAAGTAACACACACAGGTTAATATACACTATGACTGCCTTGGTAGCCGCAGTTTGACTAAATCCTGGGACACCACTTCAACTTGGAAGGGACAGAACCATATCCGGTTCTCATCAGATACACATTTTCTCATACTTTCCATCTTAAAAACTTTACACCTTCCCAGAAGAGCAATAAATGTAGGAAGACGCCAGGTAGTATGCCTGTAAGGAAGATAAGTGATCAAATTAAATTCCTACGCAAGAAACCTGAAACTTCAAAAACTTTTCCTAAACAAATCACAGATGAAAAAGACAAAGTATGGTTTACCCCATTTCCACTTCTTTTCTGGAGCCAGCTGCCCAAATTCCTGAACAGCAGTCTTAACTTACTGGTTAGTTGGAGGAGCGGTCAATGGTATGGCCACCTCTTCCTCCTCGTATTCTGGTCCATCCAGAGAGTCACCTTCGTCCACTGTCCCCAGGCCCGCCCCCAAAGGGGGCAGGTAAGGGGGAGGGGGCAGAGGGGGAAAACCGCCGCCTGGCCCAAGAGTCTCAGCAGGCAACGAAGTGGGCAGCTTGGTGAGAGCCATGTCTCCACTAGGTCCAGCGACAGCAGCACCGGCCACGCCAGCAGCAGTACCTCCCCCTGTCAGTCCGGCTCCCCCCAATGCCCCTGTCATAGACCCGGCTCCTAGGAACCCTGACCCCAAAGCGGCTCCGCCACCCAGAGTTCCAGCCACTCCAGTCTCCACCAGCCCAGGATAGGGGGCGGCTGCCACAGGCAGGGCCGCGGGTATCTTCACCCGACACACTGCGGGATAGGCACTGGAGCCCGCTGCCGCGCCGCCTCCTCCAGCTCCGGCTGTTACCGGGCCGCCCTCCTCACTGCCGGCCTCGGCCGCCATCATGTTGAAGCCCGCTCTACTCTGCCCTACCCTGCCCGCCCGGGAGCCCCGGGGGCCACCAGGCCCGGGCTCCGAGCCGCCCCACCCAGACGCGTCTCCCCTTCAGCTCCCCAGGCGGAGGAAACAACAACAAAAGGAGAGAGCCCGCCGCCGCGCCCCCTCCTAGGGCCACAGCCCAGGCTCCGGAGCTGCTTGGGTTACGGGAAGCGAAGTGGGCAAAAAACCCAACGCCTGCACAAACGCCACCCAAACCTCACGGCACACACCCACACTCACGCACACAAACACATGTACAGAAGCGAAAACTTCCTGGCTGCACTAAAGAGGAAAGGAAGCACAGGGAAAGAGGCTTAGGTGGCTATCGCTCCTTCAGCAGCCACCACCGCTTCTTCACCACCCCAGTTCCGGCCACCCACACCGCAGCCACCGCCGGTGCCGCTGCTGAGGCTGGGGCCACTGAAGCCGCTTCATCCTCCACCAGGCAGATGAGAGGGGTGGGGACAAGAGAAAGGGGGGCGGGGTAACAAGGAAATCGACTGAACTGCTCACTACCTGGAGCTCTCAGTGACTGAAACCGTAGAGAGAGAAAGGAAGGCGGGGCAGGGGAGGAGGGACGGAGGGAAGGAAGGGCGGAGGAGGGAGAGGGCAGCTTGTGCGCAGGCGCGTTCCCGGAACGGGGAGCGGGGGGCGGGGGGCGGGGGGCGGGGGGCCGGGCCTGGAGGAAAAGGAAGAGTCCAGAGGGAAGGAAGCGGCGGGGACGCGCGGTGCGTGGTCGCGCTTGCTGTCCTACTCCGGTTCCTAGCGTGCGGCGGCGCGGCCGCATCTCCTGTTGGCGTGGCCGGCGGCGCGCGCCTGTCTCCCGGGGCTTTGTTTGATGGGCGGGAGAAGAGGGAAGGGTACCTGAGCACGCGGGTGCTCGGCGCTGTGAAAGCCGGAGAGACGAGAGGGGGACCGGGAGGCGGCGGAGAGGAAGAAGGGGGAAAGGGAAAGGAAAATGCCTAGAAACTAGTTCCGTACTTCCTGACCGGTGGAAGAAACAGCCTTAGCCAGCAGCGCAGAGACCATGCAGGAGTCAGGTAGCTTTGAAGATCGGGGCAGTACTAAATGTTGTCTTTTTCGTTGCATGCTATAAATCACCATGACTATCTCACACACACACAGATAGAATAGATTCTGAAACTCCGAAACGAAATAAAGGGCACCATATGAGAAGGGTGGGGAATTTTGGTAGAAATAGTGGTTATGAAGTAAGATTTCTACTAGTATTTGCATAGGTTTTTCTTTATCAACTGTCTCATATACTTACCTATGCTATTATAAGTCTGTTGTATACTGATGAAGAGGAGGGGGTGCCACAGAAAACACTAATCAATGCACTTTTGTCCTCTGTGTGCAAAAGACTGCAGGGTGTGATCCGCAATGCAAGCACCTTCAACAAGTCAAATGTCAAGAATGTCTCAGAATGCCAGTTACAATTATATATCGTTTCTAAAGTAGCAATAAACTGAAAACTCATTTTTAATACAATTAAGGAGAAGAGTGTTATTTTGTCTTCTACACTAAAATGTATACAAACTATTACATGCATTCATGTACAGGGAGCTTCCCATGGTTTGAAATTAACGGTATTGTTATTTTAAATTCTCCCAGTAGTAATCCCACGTTGAATACCATTGGATATTGATCTTTGAGATCAGTATTTTCTCTGCTAAGGATGATCAAGCCAACACTCCGGATGGCAAGTGGTTGTGATAGAAACCAAGGAACAAGAGAAAAGACCACTGAAAGAGGTGGCAAGATACAGGCAATGCATTTTCTTTGTAAATTTGCGTAGGCCTATTTACCTAGTCGATGACAACGATCCAACTTGATTAGGAGTAGTCCTGGGACCTCCATTATGCTTATGTCTTAGGCAATGTGCTACTTGGGAGAAGGAAGATGAACCAGTCACAGGAGCTAGAGTTCTCGAGTGAATTAAGGCCAGCAACATCCTAGGAATTCAGTAATGCCACCTCAGACCTTCTGAATCAGAAACTGTGCAGCAATCCATTTTAACAAGCCATCCAAGTGATTGTTTGCCCACTTAAGTTTGAGAACCACTATATTAATGTATAGTATACTAATCAAGAAGGAGGTATGCAATACCTAAAAAAGGTTCTGAAAGATATAATAGATGTCATTCATTAGGTGGGAGGTAAAATAGGTGAGTTTTGAGTTGCTAAGCTCTGTGCTGTTCTAGAAATGAGAATGAAGTAGTTCCATAATACTTAATAACGAAGTACTACTAATAGTGGCCTCCCTGAGAACAGTTTTCTTTTAAACTTAGACCCTCAGTTAGACAAGACTATCAAAATACCTACTCTACCTACTGTCTGCTATATGAACACCAAGTGCAACATTCCCAACAAATCTTAATATAGCTGGTGCTTGAAAACCTCCAGTGTGTTAGCATCCCAATCCTCCAACATACCTGTCCCAATCACCACTGTCAGCCCTTGAATGCAGGACATTGGACAGGCAGGTTATCACCAGCTCTTGGTTTTCACTGATCTCTAAATGTTCACACACCCTCTGTATGTTGCCTGGGAGTCCAGATGAGGCTCACTACTCTTACTGCAGAATTACCTCCTCCTTTTTTGACAATTCTTTAGCACTTTTAAAGGTCAAAATTTAATGCAGTGTAACACCTATCAAATGCTCAATTAAATGTTTTCTAGACTTTTAGGTGTATGTACCTACAAAACTGGACTGCAAATACAACCTGTGGTCTATTCTACTGCCTAGCCCAGTCCTAGGCAACCTCAGTATGCTACTTTGAACAGATCTTCATCCTTTTAACAAACACCAAATTTGATCAGCTCCCATCTTTGGAAATCAATTTCTTAACCAGTAGGAAATACGTACTATGTCTATTTGTAAATCAGCCTTATATCAACATCTTACCTAGTTTATGTTTAGCCTTAGAGTTAGCCCTGTTCTTTTCATCCAAAGAAATTGCCACATATTTTATGAGGTATTTTCAAATATTTAATATATTCCTACTATTGAATAGATCTAGGCTCTAATCTTTACTATTGCTTGTATACTTTCTGAATCTCAAATAAGTTGCCTATCTTTAATTTCTTTTCATTTTTTCCAAAAGAATTTGATGTTTCTACTGCCTTTATTTTTGTCTGTTGCCTTTCTTTTCCACCCACCTTAACTTTCTGCCCAGTTAACAAAGGGAAGTAAACAATCTTAATTAAATTCACAGATAATATTAAACAGGCAGGAGGTATTGAAAAATAGAATAGTAAACAAAAGAAAGAAAATTCAAAATACATTTTACTTTTAGTAAAATAAGCTATTTTAACTGTGATTTTAGAAAAGTTACTCTAGATTTTGAAACATAGTATTTAATGAAGACTAAATAAAAAGTGTTGGACAAAAACTTGTGTATGAAAAAAACTGAAAATTTAAGAAATGAAGTTGGCTCATTCTGGTTTCATTGGCAACTGAAATATGAATGTAGTACATTCCAAAATATTTTATAGTTTTGATATCTTGAGTACATGGAAAGGTAATTCTAACTCAGTAACATAACTGTAATTTTAGAGGACCTTAGAGCCTATATATGAAAGTTTCTGATGGGAGGACTAACCAAGAAGTAACAAAGAGCTTACTGCTGTGTTTGAAGAACGCCAAATTGTGTTCCATGCCCTAGTACATATTCAACTACACGAATAGCCTTCCAAATTTACCTAAATAGTATCAAAATATTTCATTGACCCAACAATTTTGAAAGAAAGCCTTTACTTCTAACCCTAATGTCCCCACTGCATTTACTGACTTTATCTTAAAATTCTCCATAGCATAAATTTTTTTATTAGAAAGATCTTTTGAGGAAATAACATTGAGGAGATACAGGTTAAAGGAAATACTTTGATGAAAAGGTAAATAACTCTGCAGAGATTACAGTATGTGGTATAATAACTAAATAATATTTATGAAAATTATAAACACCATAGAGAAATTGAAGAACTGTGTGATGATCTCTGAGGCTGTAAAATAAATTCCAAGGTAAATTATCCACAGCTCTCTCAAAACATTCAAACCAATATATGGGTAAAGAAGATTAGAACAGTTAGATCTAAATATCTCTTCTCTTGAAATATAAAATAATAGAGAAATATATTTATTTTTTGTTATTTACTTTATTCCTATTTTGTCTTTATATTGCAGATCCTTCATTATTTTTTGCCAGAATCTTTCCTCCTTCATGATTTCTAGTCTCTTTTTCTTTACCTATTATTTTACTCTGACTAGGTACATTTATGTGTTTTCCTTTCTTTGCCTGGCTCCTATACATGATAGTATCCCATGGTAGAAGTAAAGGAGAAAAGGAAATGGAAAGGTTTCAAGGCAAAGAATGTGGGAGAGTCAGGTGGGTAGGACTCTGCCATATTTCCTTCATTATTACACTCCCATTTTTCACAGATAATTTTTTTTTAATAATGCCAGCAACAATTTAAATACCACCTGAAGCACAGTCATGAAATCCAACTAAGCTTTGCTCTTTTCACCTCAAGAATCCTGCAAAGTCTCTAATTCACATTACATTCTTTGGTCTACCTGAGAGTCTTCAGGAACCCTTTCACTTCCAAATTCAGTTAGTATGACAATACACACTGCTCTTTAAAGTAACTATACAATGAAAGGGCTAAGTGGAGCCTTAAGTCAGATAATTATCATAAATAAGGTGAGAGCTTTAACTACTGCAAATGCATTGTAAGTAGTGTAACTTAACTAAAAACAGCTTTCTATTTCTAACTATAATTATTTCTGAATCCACGTGCTCTTTTGAAGACTTTTCAACTTCACTTGTTATCTTAATAGAACTCTTTATTTTTCAACTCCCTATTCATTATCTAATTGTTTTTAAAAAGCAATGAAATATGACATATAAATACAACGGTAAGTATCAGTGATTTTCAGACATCTGAGTTTTGTGGACTACTAAAGGTTCCACAAAAATTGAGAGACTACCGAATTGCCAATTATGAGTTTACCAATTTTGTGAAGACAGAAGTATTTTGTTGTTACAACAAAACTGCCATTTCCTGCTGCTTTATTTCATAAAAGGAAAGGATATTTCAAGGTAGGGAGAAAGAGAAAAGAGAAAAGATGGAAATAATTTTAGAAAAAAAAGGAAAATTCCTTAGAATTACATAAATTTAGCTTCATGAAATATTCATCATATATTATGTTCTTATTTTATCTTTTTCCATGGATGCATTAAAAATTGGCATTGAAGGCCAGGCATAGTGGCTCAAGACTATAATCCCAGTACTTTGGGAGGCCAAAGCAGGAGGATCACTTGAGCCCAGGAGTTCCAGACCAGCCTGGGCAACATAGTGAGATCCTGTGTCTATGAGAAATAGAAAAAATTAGCCAGGCGTGGTGGTACATGCCTGTAGTCCCAGCTAATTGGGAGGCTTAGGTGGGCAGATAACTTGAGTTCCAGAGGTTGAGGCTGCAGCGAGCTGTGATTGTGCCACTGCACACCAGCCTGGGTGACAGCAAGACCCTGTCTCAAAAAAAAAAAAAAAATATATATATATATATATATATATATAGCTTTAGTTTGACAAAGTATGTTAGTTTGTATTTCCCCAGAAGCAGACTTTGAGACTAGTACTTGAGTGTTAAATTTTTTATTTAGGAATTGATTCCAGAATACTTAAGTTCAAGAGCAAGAAAGGGGAGGGGCCAATACAGGGAATGCTGAAATGAACAGGTTGCTGCTATGGATAAGTAGCGCACTCCATTGATGTGAAACTCTGGGACACAGCACAGAATCCACCTGAGAGCTGTTACACCTAAGGGACAAAGAAACTGTGTTTTATCCATCAGTTCTCACTTGGCATTGGTTGAGGGCTGCTCCTGGAAGCATCTCCTCTGCAATGCCTCCAGACTGCCTTGTGTGCAATTGGAACATCTTCATGACTAGAGAAAGCCCTCAGGTAGAGAGCCACTAGTGCATGCAGTAAGAGACCATTGGCATGCACAGCACAGGTGACTCCAAGGGGATGTGGAC